TGATTTTAGCATATGGCGACAATATAACAAAGAGTGAAAAACTTAGGGGGGTCTGAATACTTTCGGTACCCACTGTATACCGTCGTTTACCCATATATGGAGGAGAAATTCATAATTAATTAATGCTGCTGTGGTTCGTCGTGCCTTTCACTTTCAACACAACACCGGCAGCAGGAGTTGTGCGTGTTCATGAACAATCCTCTTGTTTTAGGAAGAGGCTCTCTGGTTTTATCGTTCTGAAATCATTATGAACTATTTGCTGTTATAAGTGCAAAGCTAATCTAGAGGCACCCAAGATTAAACATTAAATGGCTGGAAGTGAGCATGCCATGGGCACTTTAACAATTTCTACAAAAGCTGTTGGACAAAAGATGGCGTCACAACTTCCCAGAGGTAGAAAACTAAAGATGAAGCATTGATAAAAATATGCCGTCATGTTGTAGTAAGTTGATTTGAATTTCTTACCAGGACATGTTCCCAGTTCTGCATGAGGAAAACATCAGCCTGGTCCACCACCAGCAGCTCGATGGATGAGAGGAAGTCGAAGTCTCTCTTACTTTCTCCTTCAGCTCCCAGCAGCGTGCGGAGACCCAGTGGAGATGCAATGATTATGTCTGATGAGTAGAAGGGGGCATAGAGACGCATGCTGCTCCTCACGATGGCGACACCTGGTGAAGAGCGGGGACAGCAACGAGGCCTCAGGAAACTTAGGAGGTTTATCCAAAAGTGGGCCAACTTCTTCTTTTTTTTTTTTTAACTGTACCTATCCTGAAGTGATCATCCACGTTGCCTGAGAAGATAGCATGGTAATCCTCTGGTCTCTGCAGATTGGATGGCTTGTCAACTGCATCCTCTCCAAACTCTTCCTTGAATCTCTTCTTGTTGCTGACCACCACCTTCTTGCCTTTGGTCTCCAGCAGGCTGATGAACGTCTGGACCACTTGCAGAGCTCCGCCTCGGAATGGAACGAGAATCAAGACCTGCCACATTCATAAAAACCATTACAACACAGCAGCTGGGCAGAATAGCAGAAATATGGTGTTTCAGAACATTTGTGGCTAAGTAAGGATGGGGGATAACAATAACAGCCCTGCGAAGACAGAAGGAGCAATCAGCCATGAAGAAAGTAGAGCATCATGATGCAGTGACTGTGCTACTCTCCATTCTTGGTTCATGCTGTCATTTATACTGCTCAGAGGCAGGAAGATTTGTCACATCCAGGTGGAAAGTGTCAAATATTCTGTCCTCATTTGGGAGAATCAATGTTTCAGAGAAAACATATAACACAACTATAGCTGCATAATCAGCAAGAGAAATGGGACTTAAGTGTGAAACCCTGCACAGTGTTCAGAGAAATATTCATTACAGATAAAATGTGTTTCAGTCTGAAAACTGACAACTGACTTACTGTGTATTTGACTGACCAATTTATGTATATGAACCTAATTTGTTTGTGTAAAATTTGCATCTGTTTTGGCATTAGGGAGTGAGAGAGTTGCATTTTGCAAATGAAGAATGCAAAATGTGAAAAATGCATTTCAGAAAATCACTTGAAATTGAGGTAATCATTAAGCAGAACACCTGCAGCTCCTAACTATTGCAGCAATTATCAAATTTAAACCCTGTAATGAAATGTTGATGATTTACCCAACAGTTCTTTATAAGGGTCCGGTTGGATAACACATTACATAACAGCCTTGTTTTTGCCACCGTAATGCTTACTGATGGCAGTGGCTGTTCAACTTAAAAAAAAAAGCTTTTTATTCTGTATTCTGAGACATGTCTGGAGG